AAACCCTGAAAACCTTAAACCCTAAACCCACCCGGCAGAGACAAGCCAGGAGCCCCCGCTTGGAACTTCCTGGCCCGGAGCACACGCTTGAGGGCGCTTCGTTAGGGTTTGGGGTTTGGGGTTTGGGGTTTAGGGGTTTGGGGTTTAGGGGTTTGGGGTTTAGGGGTTTGGGGTTTAGGGTTCGGGTCTCCAACAGGTCTGACCTTGAAGCAGGCCAGGAATCCGCCTAAGCCCTAAAACCAAAACCCGAAACTTCAAATCCTAAACCTTGAAACCTTCACCCGTAACCCCAAACCATTCACACCTTCGCCCTGAGTCCTAAACCCTAAACGTTAAAATCTGAAACCCACAACCCGCGCCAGGTTGACCCCATCTCCGCTCGCCCTGTCCTGCGAGCAAGGGACAGGCAAACCCTAAACCTTAAACCCTAAACCCTAAACCCTAAAACCTAAACCCTAAACCCTAAACCCTAGCCCTACATGGCCCCCTGGTTCCCAAGCTCTCTCGGACGTGGCTGGTGTTTAAAGAAGGGAATGAACGAACTAGGTACCTTACAGAATCCCTGACAGTAAACGGTTTCCTATAGGGGGATATACGGTGCCTAATTCCCACATTCCTCACTAAGAACCAGCAAGATGCGAGGGCTTACAGTAGGATTCAGGACTTTGTCGGCCTGGGGTGGGGGGTTAAGGCTTTGGGTTCTTTTAATCTGGAATCGCTAGCTTTGGGGTTTAGGGCTTTGGGATGAGAATCTTAAAACTCAGGGCTTAGGATGTTAGGGTTGTCCGTTGAGAGCTGTGGTCGGTAGGCCGGTGCTTTCGCATGCTTTCCAGAAGGACCTTCTGCTGGTTTGTAGAATGCGTTAATGAAAACAGTTAGGTACCCAAAAAAGGTACTTGAAGTCCAGGTGAGCCCTAGACCTGTTCCATGGATATCCCGAGTCCTAAGACCGTGAACACTGAACCCCAAAAGAACAACGCCCCAAACCCTGCAGTAAACCTTAACCCTGGAGGCTTGAACCCAAAATACATATACCCTGAACCCCTAAACCTCTAAACCCCTTACCCCCGTACCACAACCCTACTTGGAGGTTCATGGTACTTATTAACCAATTAGAACTGTACTTATAACTGTACCTATAACCATATTCGGGCACTTAAAGGGGCTTGTAAGTGGGGCATAGTTGCCATATTCATCGGTTAGTAAGTACCTCGAACCTCCTTGCAACCCCGGAACCTTGAACCCTAATGAGTCATCCCTGAATGCTCGCAAGGCGTGGTCCTAAAGCCACCACGCGAAAGTGAGTGCACACCTCGCCGCGCCGCAGGGCTTTGGGTTCAAGGTATACGGTTATTAGGGTTTCGATGCCTTGGCCACCAAGGTGTGGGGCTCTGTAGGGCTTAGGGACTTACGGGCTTCAGGTTTCGCACGTGGCTCTGCCTTGGAGGTTTTTTTTAAACCCTCGAGGTGGTTAGAGCGGCTATGACTTAAGGCCCACCCCCCAAAGCCCTCCACCTCAAGCCTTTCTGGCAGAGCACGTGCGAGCTCCCTTTTTCCTCGAGACCCTTTCAGATGAGCTCACACCTCCAGCCCCTGGTCCTTTAACCCTAAACCCTAAACCCTAACCCTTGCTTAGGGCTTGGCGCAGTAAGGTTGAGGATCCAAGGTCTAGGGGTTGAGCTCTAACCCGCCCGGGCCCTACGTCAACTCAACCAAACGTCGAAACCCCAAAGCCTACAAGTGCAAGCCACAAGCGCGAACCCTAAACCCTAAACCCTAAACCGCGCGAACCTTGAACCCTCAAACGATGTTGGCACCTCCGACGCTTTGCAGCACAACGGGGGCCAGGTCTGCACGATCTGGCTGTTTTCCAAGGGCAGGGGGGGGGGGGTTAGGGTTTAGGCTTTAGGGTTTAGGGTTTAGGGTTTAGGGTTTAGGGTCTAGGGTCTAGGGTTTAGGGTTTAGGGTTTAAGGTTTACGGTTTAAGGTTTAGGGTTTAGGGTTTAGCGTTTAGCATTTAGGGTTTAGGGTTTAGGGATTGCAAACCCGGAACCCTAAATCCTAGGCCCTAAACTCTAAACCCTAAGCCCGAAACTCTGCATGGTTTTGAGTCAGGGGTCTGGTTTAGGGCTTTAGGTTACGGGGCCCCTGGCGAGTGCCAGTAGGCGCAGATTCAGCCCACAATAGGCAAAGGCCCTGCTATCTTGTGAAACCCTAAACCCTAAACCCTAAACCCTAAACCCTAAACCCTAAACCCTAAACCCTAAACCCTAAACCCTCCCGAACCACCAAAAGCCCTCGCAAAGTCGTGGCGGCAGTGCTTTGCACCGACCTGAGCGTGCAAGCGCGACTTGCTACAGGTCTGGTGGAGACCTGAGCCCTAAGAAAGCGAACCCCTATATAAACCCTCAAATGAAACCCAGCGAGCCCTAATTTGAGCCTTAAACCCCCCCAAGCTTTTCAGCCGGACACAAAGCCCTAAACCCTTCAGTAAATTTGA